AGACTATGCCGGCTGGATAGCTTTGTGTGTGTGTGTGGGGGGGGGCAACGTTCTGGCTGTTATTGCAGAGGAGTGTACACCTAAGTGTACAATACCCACAGCACAATGTTATCTCTAATTGAAGAGTTTCATTGTTTAAAAGGCAACCAATGCCTTAATTATGTCCCGTATTCATGTATTATTAAATAAAAGCAGCCGCTTTAACCTTGGAATCTATTTCTCGATGAAGATCCTGAATTTTTAATGTTTAGTCAAGAAACTGTCTGTGCTGATTTTTGCATCTGCATAAAATAAAACAGTTCAAAAGACATAGTTCTGGTCAGACTGCTTGACTTTGGTCATAGAAAAACAGCAGCTGTGCAGATTTTACACTGTTATATAAAGGGATTTGTGAGAATGAGAGCAGTAATGCATAACCACTACATTCTGAACATCTACCTTATCTGCTGGATTCAAAGCCTTTAACTCCTCTGGAACACACCGTCTGTCTGTCAGTGTTAGTACCTTGGTGACAGCTTCACTCCAGTCTACTGTAGCTCTGTTCCCATCAATGAGCATTTGTCTGTGACTAGGTGGGGTGGATTCATTTAGACTGACATGTTCTTCCTGCTGTAACCACGTTTCAGTAAGACACAATATATCACAGGGCTGACATGTAGACAGACAACCACACTCACTCCTGCAGGTGATTTAGAATCGCCAGTCAAGCTAAGCTGCATGTCTTTGGTCTGTGGGAGGAAGCCAGAGTGCCCAGAGAGACCACGCAGGTACAGGGAGAACATGCAAACTCCGCACAGAAAGGCACCGGGTTGGCCTGGACTCGAACCCGAAACCTTTTTGGATTTCTCCTTGAAATTTGAAATGATTACATAGTGACTGTAATAGTGTTTATGTTAAAAGCTGAATGTCTGCTAGGCCTAGTGTCGGAAGGTGAAGCTCATCTGTCACATTAGGAGACTGAATTGTTAAAAGAGGCATTAAGTGAGGATGAAAATGCTCAGAGCCCACACTGACAGGTTTGTTTTGTTTTGTTTTGTTTTTACTTTTGTCTAATCACATAATGCAAAACTTGGTGTTTCTCTAGGATATCCTGCAGATACAGGATTTGCTTACTGATGTTATAACAAATCCTTCATCATACACGTCAAACAAAGCAACAGGTGGTTGCTGGCAAGAAGCCTCTGACACTGAGCGAGGCTCTGGTCATTTAGTCATAAGCTCCTGGTAACCTGACCAGGTTTCCTCACTACTGTTCACTAGTCTGAAGTAACACACGAGTTGTCGTTCTTGCTGTGCTTTAGTAGAGCAGTCTCCTAAATGTAAAAAGTCTGAGTATTTGCATATTCTTGTAATTATAAAGGAACCAAGGCTCTATCGATAGGTAGTTGTATCAGGATATTTAGTTTTGCTGTGAAATAAATTAGTGTTGCAAGAAGGTTTGGAGTTAGTGCAACTATATATTTGGTTTGCAAAAATTGTTTTTTTTCTGTTGTGGTTTCATCCATCCATCTTCTTCCACTTATCCAAGACCGGGTCGCGGGGGCAGCAGTCTAAGCAAAGATGCCCAGACTTCCCTCTCTCCAGACACTTCCTCCAGCTCCTCTGGGG